CTTACTTTCTGGACCTTATCCTGGGAGATCAACGTATGCAACAGCCTTGTATCCCAAGATTTAGAAATCGGGTCAATTGTATCACGGACTTGAGATATAACACATCCCGGCGGTCGAGCGGATTGGATACAAAAATTCTGTGATGATGGAACCCATTTGTCCTCCCAGAAACTGACCGAAGCCCCATTGGAAATTTGCCACCGGGTGCCCAAACGAAGGGTTTCTTTGCCGTGAAGAAGACTAACCCATGCCCAAGAAGCCCAAGGTCCTTTTGAAGCATTCATTAAGGTGGAGTTCGGATAATAGATGCCTTCCAAGAACCTGGCACAATACGAGTTAGGGTAATTGACTAGCCGCCACCCTTGTCTAGCTAGTAGAGCTTTATTAAACGCATGCAAGTCCTGAAACCCCATACCTCCTTTAGCCTTTGGCAAAGCCAACTTCCCCCACAAAAGCCAGTGAATCCCTCTGCCCTCCGGCTCACCCTTCCACCAAAAATTACTTACCAAGGAGTTCATGGAGGCACACAAAATCTTGGGGAAAAGAAAACACGCCATGGCATAAGTTGGGATGGCCTGTGCTACAGCTTTAATCAGGATTTCCCGACCAACGTGGGAGAGAAATTTGACCTTCCAGTCCTGAAGTTTATTCTGCATTCTCTCAACCAGATAAATGTAAGCGTCCTTCTTAGAACGCCCCCAACACAAAGGCAAACCCAAGTATTTCGAACCATCCCTCACCGGGGCCATACGCAGCAAACCAGAGATCTCAGTTTGGTCCACCAACTGTGTCGAAGAAGAGAATTTGAGGCCCGACTTATCCCCGACTTATTGAAATTATTGATTGTCCGGATGCCTTGCAATACACATCAAAGATTTGAAGCACATTTTGGCATTGGTGAACATTAGCTTGCAAGAACTGTAACACATCATTGACAAACAGCAATTGAGACAGAACTGGGCATGTGCGTGCAACTTTCAAGCCTGAAAATTTCCCTCCTCGAAGGCCAGTAGTAAGGAGTTTGGAAAGAACCTCTATCACCAGGAGAAAGAGATAGAGAGAGAGTGGATCCCCCTGACAGAGCCCCCGAGTAGGTTGAAAGGACATTCGTTTTTCGCCATTCACAAAAACAGAGAAAGAAACCATGGTGACTGTGACGCCCTAAATTTTTGGAACATCAAGGGAAATTAAATAAACAAAATGACTTAATAAATTAAAAAGTTGACATCTTAATTGGACATTTCAACTCTCGTACATAATCAAAGGTTCAAACAACAATAAATAAAAACTTAAAATTATCCAAATACAACATCAAATGAAATTATAAAGTCCTTAATTGCTATTATATAAAATAATAAAATTTATTCGACTATAATCAGAGCTTCAAGTTAGCCAAGGCTCTACGTTAGCGTCAATTTCATTTCAGCTTCAATTATTTCCTCACCAAAACCTGGCATAAAACGCCATGGTAATAAAAATATAAGTCATGAGTTTTGCAACACAGTAAGAAAACATAATCAACCCACCATTCTTTTTAAGAGAAAAATAATGAGATTATAAACATGAGATAACAATATAATTGTAAACATAAATTACGACCATTAAAATAATTTTAATAATTCTAATAAATTAGGTGACACTCGAAATCTCACCAAAGAGATTTAACTTACCAACCACTAAACATGGAAATGGTTAATTTGAAATCCCCCATTAGTCAAATATTCAAGTGTTACCAACTGTAACTACCAGGGATGCCCACGTCCGGAGTTATATATCCAAGTAGTGGCATCCGTGGTCTGCCCCAAGGAAGCGGTCTGCCAGGGGTACGTAAACCTCCCTGTGTGCCACCTGCATATCCACCCTTATTCCAAAACCGAATACCGAAAAAGGTTCAAATAAGTCTCATGCCATCTTAGGGTTTCGCGACACAATTTACGTGAGAATTCTCAAAACCAAGGCTCGCCCTAAACAATCGGTATTAGTCGTCAACCCTTAATTTCGTACGCTCTTTAAAACTAAGACTCACCCTGAACAACTGGTATTAACCGTCAATTGTTAACTTTGTATATGCCGTTAGTCATTTCAGTTAATTTTTATATTAATCACAAATATTTCAAATTTTTATTCACCAATAATGTTGTACCAACTCATTAAAATTCCCAATATAAAATATTACACATGTCACACAAAAATAAATCAATGTACAAAATTTAAATAAACAATTAATTTAAACTATGGTATAAAATAATAATGTAGATACCAAAAAGAAATAAATCATAATCACATGCATGCATGGATTTTTAATCTACAAGATTAGACTAGCACAATACTAAATTTTAGTCCAAATAAACAATTGAAAAGAAAATTTTTAATTTCTCATGAATTTGCCAAAATCTTCAGAATGTATATCTTACAAATAAAATTATAAATAAATTATTTATACAATTCTAAAATTCATATAAATCTACAGAATACTCAATAAAAATTTTATGGTCATTTTTCAGAAAGCATTTTCCAAAAATAAATTATAAATAATTCTTAAAAATTCCAAGAAAGTTTATGACACAGATTTATCACATTTTCTTAAATTAATTTCATACTTAAATTTATAAATCAATTCCATAATCTAAAATTTTATTATGAAACTAGACTTCTCAAATTTCATTTTTTGTTTAGAAATTAACATATTTGGTTTAATATAAAATTTTTAATGATTTTTCAAACACATAGTAAAATCTGCCTATAGCTCCAGATTTGGTTTAAAATCTGTATAAATTCGTATAAAACTCAATAATTGTTGCAAAAATTCATGGATGAAGTAGACATCATTATAAACAACTTTGTAGAAGAAATCATCTCAAAATTTTGAGTGTAAAAGTGTCTAAAAATTTGTACAACTTTCTGGTAGATTTAGGGACCAAATAAAATCTTCAATCCTCTCTTTAATGGCATAAACTACACATGCAAGCCTATTTCCACAATAATACCATGACTTTAAGACTGTCAATATTTTCAAATATTTGATATACACATCACAAAATTTACATACATACATATATATATATATATATATATATAAATTTATATCTATAAGTTAGTCATTTATCATATGAATATAATTTGAAATTTTCAACAATTAAAAAAAATGAGAGAGTTGAGAGGGTTTTCTTACTTAATTGTAGGATTGAAATGGAACAATGAAATGGTAGAAAATATATATCCTTCTTAATCTCCTCCTCCTCTTATCCTCCTACTCAACTTGGCAGTCTTTTTTTTTTCGCAGATGTCCTTTTCTTCTCTCCTTCACCAAATGCAAGCATGCATGTATATATATACAATGCATTGCTAAGCACCCCCCTCTCTCTCACATTCTCTCTCTGTTTCTTTCTTTCTTTATCTTTCTCTTCATTCTATGTAATCAAATCTTCAATTTCCAAAGGCTATATTCTATACCACCATGCATGCAACCAAGTGGCAGTGCAGCCACTTGAAATCTGCCGATTTGTGTGTGTATGTGTGTGTGTGTATTTGTGTGGGTTTCTTAAATTTGATACACTAAGATTTTTAACGAAACTATTTAGTAAGAATAATTATCATGTTGGATCATTATTAAAATAATTTATAAACAGCAACTATTGAACATCCACAAAATTATTATTTTTAATAATGTCTTTGTTAGTGATTGAATTGGGTTATTTTAAAACTAACTTTTACACTAATATATAGTTCAAATAAACTATGGATAAAATTAATTAATTAATTTATTATTATTTTTTAAATAATTAAATGCGGGTTTTCACAATGACACACTCCATAACCCAGCGAATCCAGCAATCATCAAACCCCATTTTTGACAACACAGCCTGAAGGAAGTCCCATCCCACCCTGTCATAAGCTTTGTTGAAATCAAGCTTGACTGCCATAGCAAAGTTGTTTCCTTTCCTCTTGATCTTGAGAAAATAAAAAGCTTCGTGTGCCACAAGAATATTGTCCTGAATAAGTTGACCTAGGACAAAAGCTAATTGGTTGGGAGAGATGAGACCACCCAAAATCCTTTTCAGACAATTAGCCAAAAATTTTGTGATAATTAAAATTACACAAGCTAATTGGTCTAAAATGGGGCAATTTTGCTGGAGTTGGAACCTTAGGAATTAGGACCAAGTTGGTTTGATTCAATTCCTTGAGAAAAAAGCCCCTATCAAAGAAACTTTGAACTGTGAAACACACATCAGGACCCACCTCATCCCAATACTGTTGGTAGAAAAAGTTAGGAAACTCATCAGGGCCTGGTGCTTTAGTTGAACCCAGTTGGAAAACAGCGGCCTTGATTTCCTCCGGAGAAACAGCTCTAGTAAGTCCACGATTCATGGTTCTCGTAATAACAGGACTAACAGTCGCCATAGCGTCCTCCAAATTGCGGGGCCCATATGTGCAGAATATATCCGTGAAGTATTCATGTAAATGTTGGTCGATCTCACTCCGAGCTTTCAACCACTGACCATTATCTGTCTGGATTTTCAACAACTGATTTCATTGCCTCCTCTGGGTGAGGGTTTCATGAAAAAAACTAGTGTTTTTATCCCCATAAATAAGCCAATTGATCCGTGATCATTGGTGTAAGAACATCTCCTCGCGTGCCATTAACAACTCCATGCCAAATTTAATAGTTTGTTGCTCCTGAATGTTTGAAGTTGTTAGAGGTTGACCCTGGAGCTCATCAAGGACACCTTTTAGCTTGGCCAATTTTCGCTTATTATTACCTAACTCCTCTCTCTCCAAGTTGTAAGACCCTTGCAGCAAGACTTTAAACGTTGCACCAGCTGAAACATGGGAGATCCGTGAGCATCAACCACCCAATCCCTCTTAATGACCTCCTCACAACCCTGACTAATGGACCACATAGTCTCGAACTTGAAAAGATGAGGGATTTTGTTGGGGGGCACACAACATTTAAGAATGATAGAGCAATGGTCGGACCCCATCAAGCTTTCATGAAAAACCTAAGCATAGGGAAATAAATCGCGCCATTCCGTTGTAGCAAAAGCTTTATCCAATCTCTCCCGGACATTAGCAAGGCCAACTTGGTTATTAGACCAGGTAAATAGAGGACCATTAAACTCTAAATCCATCAGTGCATAGTCAAACACCCAATTTTGGAAACCTTCAATGTGATGCCTACTACATTCCACACCACCCTGTTTTTCCCACATCGAACCCACTTGATTAAAATCACCAACACAGAGCCAGGGGTAACGGTTATTAGAAGCTTGGGCTCGAAGAAGATCCCAAAACTCACATGTGTACCTCCGATTAAGGGGGGCATAAACAAAGGAAACGACCCACTTAATAGAACTACCACTGTAAGCAATAAGGCAATAGAAAAGTTTTTTAAATTTAAAACGAACTTCTAAATTTACCTCATCCGTCCACCATAAAGCAAGGCCACCCGAAAAACCCTCCGGGTCAACACAGTAATGATTAGAGAATTGGAGACTCCGCCGAACTCTTTCCAGCTTTGAGACTGTATTTTTGGTTTCCATTAAGAAAACCACTGTAGGACGATGGGTTGACACTAACCCTTAGAGGATCTGGACTGTCAGGGGTCGTCCAATCCCCTGGCAGTTCCAGCTGAGAATCAGCATAAGGCTCGTGGCTATTTAGGGCCAGCCACCATTGCCCATCCATCATCACCTTCACTCTCCATAGGGAAAGTGCTTAGAACTTGAGAGCAGCAGTCTTCCACTTCATCACGAGGCCACTAAACCGGAATAGAGACCAACACCATTTCTGAAATGGGCGTATCAGAGCTGTCTACTGCATTCTTATGAGCCAATCAATTCATTTTACCCTTAGGTCGGCCCCTTAGAGAGCCTTTAGAGCCACAGCCACGGATAATGCTTTGCCTTCTGCTGCGGGACGAGAGGTTTAGAGCACTAATTTCAACCAACTCCTCACCCTTTAGTAATTTAGCAAGACAACCAGACACTTCAAAGTCAACCTAGGCTTTGTATTTAATCGATAGATCTTGGAAAATGTGGGCCATACAGCGATCAATTGTTGGGGCCAGCAAGCCCAGCTGGGTTAGGTTATTAGCCCTAATCTCTTCAATTCCAATCTCAAAAAAGGGTTCAAATTGGTCTAGAGTCTGTTGGGCTTCCACTAGAGGGATTAATTGGTCATTGGGCTCCGTCATGAAATAAGAAGGCCCGAGCCCAACTATATTAGAAGATGACAAATTAGGTCCAGTTTTCATTGCCTCACTCGTTGCTCCCAGTACCACTCCTGGGATCGTACTCTTAATAGTAACCACCTTCCCACCTTCTATATGCAGATCAGACAAAATGGCTCTGCCACCTGGCCCAATCACCTCCTCGTCAGCTGGGCTTGTAGACACCTCTAAAGGGATATCCCATATATCAGGTACAACCACGTTTGGGGCTACTGTACTATGGGGAGCCCCCACCTCAGCTCCTCCAAAGTCGACCCTACGCACCACCACCGACCGCCCTTGCGATAGGGCTTGAACCCTCATCTCCGTCTCATCCACCTAATGCTTGACTTGTTCCAATGGTATGTTCAATCTCGAGGCTTAACTAGTTCTCAAATCTGGTCCATAGGGAGAGTTCTTACCTTCTTCCCTTGAAACGAACTTACACACAGAGTTGACATAGCCAATTCGGCCACAATCATAGCAAAAATCAACAAGTTTCTCATACTTGTAATGCACCCAAGTCTCCATTTGCTCACTGCCAGGAGAGGAGTTGTGTTGAAGGAAGAAACCCAGTGGGAGAGGTTTGGTGACATCCATTTCCACCCTGATACGAAGGTAACTACGATTCAGGAGCAATCCCTCATGCATAGCTTCGACCCCAATGAGATTACCTAACCTCTTACCAATAACCTCAGCATTTTGTTTAGTCATCTAAGCCACTGGGAGACCATGGACTTGAACCCAGAAAGGACTCCAGTGAAAAACCATCTCAGACGCGGATACCCTGGCGGAGAGGGGTTGTAAGACCAATAAATTGCCTATCACCGACCAGGGGGCTTCAGCCAAAACACGCCGACGATCTTCAAGGTCCTCAAACTGGAATAAAAACCTATTTTCCGACCACGAAGATATCTCCAGTTTAGCTCTCGGTCTCTACGCATCCAAAAGGATATTGGAAACAGCCTGCTGATTCAGGGACTTGGAAGCCAAAATCTTTCCCAATAAACAGCGATTTGAGATGTCCTCATTTTCATCGGAGCCTTCACAAAGCTCAAACCAATCCTGGGTTGGCAGAGGAAGTAGAGAGTCTACCATAAGAGAAAGAGAAGAAGGCGAGACAAAGGGAAAAGAGGAACAAAAGAAAAAGTGGAGAAACAACTAACCAAGGAGTGCAAGAGGAGGCAGATACGGAAAAGAAGATGGGAAAACCCAAAAAACTACCAGAAGGTAGGGAAGCTCTCACAAGAAACCTAGAGAGAGAGTATAACTTTTATTTTTCATTCCATTTCCTTAGAATTACTAATCTATGGATTCACAATTCCATGTTTGATTGCAACTTTTATTAAGCGGATTACATAAATGATATATATTCAATCCGACGAAATTGATAAATTTTTACTATTGAGAGGGGTTGAGGATCATCTGCCTATTTTCTTGATGAAGCAAACCTCAATCAGAATGCTCCCTTATGCAATTTTTTATTTTTTTTATTTTGAATATTGTATTTCCATGTCGGATTTGTAAATAAAATTATAAAGAAAATGGAAAGGTGAATGAATTAAACGATTAGTTGTTTTCACTTGCTTTCTTTCTTTTTTTTGCCTTCTATTGGAGGTGAGGACAAAGTTAATTTCTTTCTTTTTTTTCGACCACCAAGCTAACTCGTATGACTTCGTAACATAGCTTTAATCTTTACAAGTGGACAACCCTATTCACTTAGAGCAACTACAATGGTAAAAATCATAACGGAATTTGTCAAAATTAAATTTTGTTTGTATCAATCAACGGTTCCCATGTTATTTTAACACAACCAACCATCATATCAATCTATGATCATTAGAATTATATTTCAAAAAGTATCTAAAGATCATGATTGACCTTTGTTGATGTAGCAAATTTCACACACTATTAGAGGATTTATTTTTATTTTTATGAAAGCATAACCCAAAATAACTTTGATTTAAAAATTTAACACACCATTAGAGAATTTATTTTTATTTTTATGAAAGTATAACCAAAAATATAACCAGCCATTATTTTTAATTTGTAATTTGTAAGGAAAACTAACTGGCCCCAAAGACTTCCAAAGGCTTACTTGTGACAATCAAAAATAGTCCTTGTAAGTGTTTGATAAATTACATTTTAAAAGGATTGAGATTCTTATTAATCCTTCACTGCATCATTCAAGAGTTGTGAAAAACTAATGAAAATTATTTTTATTTTAAATTTAAAAAATGTCATTAAAATTAATATTATTGACACAAAAAAAATTGCCCTGTTCTATTTTGCAAACTTAATTTTCTTGGGCCCTGGTTAAAGCCCTGTTGCATTCCGCCCACATCCGTTGGGCCTCTTGATTGAAGGTTTTTGGGCTCAATTGAAACCATGTTGGTTGTGTGCCCGCTAAGTTAGAGCAAGGATCCTCTAGAGTGATTTTTTCCTAAAATTTCCTAGAGTGTTACATTGTGTGGTTGAGATTTACTGGCAAGTTACATCAATTTTTCTGATGTGACTTGCCAATAAATCCCAACCACACAATGTAGCACTCTAGGAAACTTTAGGGAAATTTCACTCTAGAGGATCCTTGGTGGCTAAGTTATGTGCTTACATGATTAAAAAAAAAGAAAGTATAATAATAGTAAATCATAAAATAATATTGGCTAGACACATGGCCTTCACTTATTTTTTTTGATTTTTTTTTTTACTATGTGGCTATTTTAGCCTGAGTTAAAAAATCTAATTTGAAATGAGTTTTTTGATTTTTATAAAAGAAAAAATAAAATGATTATAATTTACATATGATATTTTGTTTTGTTAATTTTTTAACCTATTTTATATTTTTGTGACTAAAATAACCTCTAACTCACATTCCAAACATAGCCATAGTTACGTTTTTAGAAAATTAATTTTTTAAAACACACTTTCTACTTTGAAATTATGTTTTTTAGTAGACAATTTTTAAAAACAATTTTTTAACTTATTATACAGCTTTTAAAAAAAAAATGTATAACAATATATAATTATTTTAAATTTTATCAATTAATTTTTTCAAAACACTATAAAAACTAAAAGAAACAAAGGGAAAGTTGAAAGAGTTATGCTAAGGATCCCAAACAAATTATCAAATTTTCTACCAAATCTCTCACATGGATGTGGGACTCACACACATTGATTTGTGTGGATTCCACACCATGTGACAAGTTTAGTAGAAAATTTGATACTCCCTCCGTCCCAAAATAATGGTCCCTTTTGGGGAATCTAACTTTTTTTGGTAGTACAATTATTGTACTTTTAAAAAGTTGATTTTCCAAAATTACCCTTTGATAGTACACTTTTTTGAGAATATCAATGTCATAATTGTACTTTTTATATTATTTATGAATTTAAAAGAAGGGCAAAATGGGAAATTTATATTATTTTTGTACTTAATTTTTGAAAAGGGACTAATATTTTGAGACAATAAAAAATAAAATAAGGGACTAATATTATGGGACGGAGGGAGTAATTTGTTTGGGTCCATAACAATACTCAAGTTGAAAATCACTTTTGATTTATAAATAAAATGAAAAATCACTTGAATTTGATTACTAAAACAAAAAAATAAAAACAACAGTAAATTTTTACTATTTTTTTTAAACGTAGTGGGGCCCACCTGTTAATAGGGCCGCCATCTATTAACGTGCGCGTCGTTTGGAGTCTACGATGACCCATGAGATGAGCCCAGGTTTTTCACATGCATCTCTCCTTCTCTCTGTTCCTCTCTCCTCCTTCTCCTCCAGGCGCCATTTCTTCCTTTACATTTTCTCTCTCTAGATTTCTCTCTCTCTGTCTCACTCTCTCTCTCTGAGATTCCATAATTAGGGCTAATATCTCCATCACCATAACCATTTCTAGGGTTTTTCCAACACTTCAAATCCCTAACATAATAATTTTATTCACCTCTATCAATATCTATATAGATACAGACATAGATATAGAACTAGATTTAGATTTAGATTCTCCTTCGTTATCTGAACTTTACCCAATTTTCTAGGGTTCAAGTATCAAGTTTTTTTTTTTTTTTTTTTTGCTTTCTTGATCGCCATGGATGATTCGCCACAGCTTTTTCAATTCGTACAATCAGTGCTCATAGGCGTAATTTTCTCATTCCTTCTCGCGAAGCTCATCTCTGTAGTCGTCTCTTTCCGAGAAGAGAATCTCAGTATCGTTCGTGGTGACTCGGTTGAGAAGGAATTGAAGCCCTCATCGAGTGAATCGATCCCGATTATCGACGATTCAGAGAATTCTGGGGTTAGTGTTGTGGAACCATTGGTTATTGAACGGGCTAATTTGGATACAGTGATTGATGATGATGGTGGTGGTGGTGGTGGTGGTGGTGATGATGATGCTGATAGTGATGATGATTGGGAAGGGGTTGAGAGTACTGAATTAGATGAGGAGTTTAGTGCTGCTACTGCATTTGTGGCCGCTGTGGCGTCGGACCGGTTGTCGCAGAAAGTATCTAATGATGTGCAATTGCAGCTTTATGGGCTATATAAGATTGCTACCGAGGGACCGTGTAGTGTGCCGCAGCCATCGGCCCTCAAAATGACTGCTCGCGCAAAGTGGTATTGCTCTATGCTCACAGTTTTTCAATTTCTATGCTGTTTTTAAGTATGCAGTACTGATTGTAAATTTTAATGTTTGATGGTGAGAATGTGATAACAGAGCTTAAAATTTTGACTTTCTTTCATATGTAGTAGCATTTGTTGATGATCATTGATTGTGCTGCTTGCAATAAATTTTTAAAGATGCCATGTGATGATTAGTGCCCAATAAGTGACAAGTCAAGGCAACAAAATCATTATTGGAGTGGGGCTAGTATAGCGAAAACTTAGGTTAGGTTCGTTGAGATTATTAAAGAATAATAACACCTAAGAAAGAAGAAAGTGTATGCATGAAATACAACATAAGGTTCCATTATGGCTAATAGTACAACATAGCCAATGGCTAAGCTAAGAACAATGCGTTGAAACTTAAAGACACTTGTAGGATGTGTTCCTTTTTCACTGCTCCTCTTTTTTTATTCCTTTATGAACTTAATAAAGCACATAAAGATAGAGCATGATGTTATCTTCAGTTATCCACTTTTAAAAGAGAGAGGGGTTGGGGAAGGGAGAAAAGAAGGGCGCATTTATGCCTTCATTTCGAAATTTAAACTTGTAGAAATCATATGGCGTCTTTTAAAGTTTTAATAGAAAGTAGAAGATAAGAGTGTTTGTTTACTTATTTGTAAGGAAGCTTTACAAAGAAAATATTAGGATAAGATCATTTTTTTTTATAGCTCGGAATCTGGCCCATTGGACCAGCCAACTAATTTGGAAGACCAATTCCGCTATCCACTTGTGGGATTCCCAATTAAAACTAGGGCAAAAGCCCCCGTATGAACTGACCCCAAGAAATTGTTTGCACCTTGGACTCTAGGACGTTTCAAACCTGAGATCTGGGAGGGGGCACCCCCAAGTCTCAAGCCTTACCACCAGGCCAACTCCTTGAAATTTAGAATATGATCATTTAACCAACATGGTATCAAAATATTTTAAAAAAATGGAAATAGTATCTACACAATTTCTGACTATTTGTGGACAAAATAACCCACTCTAGAATTACACATGTTGTGTTTTCTTCATTTCTTTTTTGTTTAACATTCCGTCACTCTCAAGTTAAAAGCATTTCATGAAATATAAAATAAAATATACATTTGGAAAGCTATCTCTTCATGGTTAAGATAGAAATTGTGTTTCGAAATGGTTGGTGATCACTGTTAAGTCTTTCTCAGCCACTCTGTCTCTCTCTGTATATACATATGTGTGTGTGTATAAACTGTATGGTAGAAGAAAGATGATGAACTGTGATCCCGTTGTATGTTTACATAGAGAGATAGAACCTACCCTGTTTTATCTCCATTTGCACGCTATGCCATGCTAATTGGGACGATTTTCCTTCCAATATATATAAGAAGCATCAAATTATTATGATATTTTTAGTAGTATTGATGTTATTAGCAGGATGTAGTTACGATATATTATCCAATGTATCAATTATTCTATGATGTTGTACGTAAAGGCTCAATTGTGACACTTGTTGATTTGACGTGCATGAGAGAGAGAGAGAGAGCATAGCTCATCCATTGTGTCATTGATTTTGTTATGAGATCATGATATCTATAATTTTTTCCTCTCTTTTTGGTTAGCTACTTTGTAATGATTTGTTGGGTTCTCAAGGTCTATTATTGTAGTTTACAAACTTACAGGTATGCTGTAAGTCTTATTGTGAAACATCTGGTGATTAAATAGCCCACGAAGTGGCAATATTGGTCAATGATAATTAGCAAATGTGGTAGAATACTCGATTTGTAATTTTTGGTATTTTGACATTATCTTACTGATGAAATCAACAATTTTTTATGTTCACATGGTAAAAGTTGTTAATTTTTAAAAATTACTTTACATTTTTAAGGTTGGGGACCTAAGATTTTCGTGGGCATCATTGGTTGTTAGGATAAAATTGAAAAGAAACGCATTTCTATTATTCTTGATATTTATTTGATAGATTATTCTTTGTTTTCCTTTTTAGTTTAAGTAATGATGTACTTGAGTTAGAAGGTTCCACATCTGACTAGTAGAAAGATTTTATTTTGTGGCGTGTGCTAGGCAAGCATGGCAAAAGTTGGGTGCTATGCCCCCAGAGGAAGCAATGGTGAAGTATATTGCAATTGTTACTGCGTTATATCCTACTTGGGCTACTGGTTCAACTTCTGTAAGTTCACAATCTTTCTGTTTAGTGGGAAGATGTTTTAAACTTTTTTCTGTACATCCGCTTAACATTCTTTTCTCTTTTGCATGCTTATACAACAAACTGATAAAAGAAGATAAAGGGTGGAGAGAGTAGTGATGCAACGAGTGGATATAATAAAGGACCAATGGGACCTGTTTTTAGCACATTTGTTTATGAGGAAGAATCTGGAAATGAGTTGTAAGGTTTTTTGAACCCGTACATGCATGAGACTGTCATAAATATTCTTGTTTTTTTTATGTGAAAATGGTCTTGCTTACCTTCTTGTGGTTTTGTGTAATTTTGTTGATAGACATCTGTTGATGAACTCATTGGTTCAGCTCTGAGTTGTTTAGCTAAAGGCGGAAGAATTAGTCTCTGGCCATTCTTTGCTGTTATTTTCTTGATAGTTTACTTTTTATCATTCTCCCACCTGCTATATCATCTTTATGAAATGCTGTTGGTTCAGGTAGATATAAAGTTGTATTTAACAAATTTATGAAAAGAAACCCAAGATATGCATGAGATGGTAGGGTTGAAGGTGGTGGGGCCTGAGGTGGAGGTTGGACTTTGCAAAATGATCTGTACTGATTCATGTTTTAGAGGTATGGGAAGGTCAAAAAGAGTGTTTATTTTAGAGAAAGACGACTGGATTAACTTGTGAGTGAAAACATGTGAACACATGCAGATATGAAACACCATTCATTTTGTTTAAAATGTGTACTCGCTTCCTGCCAGTATAACGGAATATTAATTTCTTATACAGCTGTTTTTTTTACATGAATCATTTTCTTACTATTACTTCTAATCTGGGATTCAAATCTTGGAATAAGGAAGTTGATATTAGTGTTCAAGGTTTGTTGTTTGCTTTTCAGAAAAATGGATGCTATACATGCCTTTGCCAGAGAAGGAGACTGGGAGAACTTGCTTAAATGTATTGAGAGTGGTGTTCCAGTGAATTCGAAGGGTTTGTTTCCAAATATCTCTTCTTTCTATATGCTGTTGTGTAATTGCTTTTGTGATTTTATCAGCATTAAGATGTCAAATTGAATTGGTTGGGTGTAAAATTAAATTGGCCAAAATTAGAGATCAAGCTTAGATGAATGTTATCCTGTGCTATGCTTGGCTCATTCGCTCTCCTGATTATTTTGCACATGAGAGCTCACAAATGGAGGCACAAGTGTATGATCCTTGGCATGAGGTTCAATTGTTAGGATTTTTGTCCTCCTATATTTTCTTCCTTCGCTGAATCATTCAGACTAAGAAATTAGTGTACTTTTAGTTTCTTTGAAAACTTCAAATGCACAATTTCATTTGCCAATCTCTATTCTTGCTGTGTACTATGCCCTCCTTATCAATTCTTGCAGAAAAATTTCTAACATGAATTTTCTTGAAACAATTGTAGATAGTGAGGGTCGGACTGCGTTGCACTGGGCTGTAGATCGTGGCCATCTGAACATCACGGAATTGCTTGCAAGCAAGAATGCTGATGTTAATGCAAAGGTAATTTAAACTTCAATTAGTCACAAATGTTATGTAATTAGTTATCTATTGAACATTTAATCCTGTTAGATGTTGACAAAGTGGTTTGTCATCCTGCATGCATATCACATGTCCCAAAATAATTCCTACATGCATATCTTGTAATCCTCAGTTTGGTTAGAGGTTGTATATGATGAAATAAAACTGGTTGGTGGCTCGGCCATCAGATTGATTATTCTGGTTTGTGCCTTTTTGTTTTTTGGGTGTTGGTTGATTATGCATTACATTGAGTCATTTCTTCTGTGGGCGGTCCTTGGAAGGATCTCACAATACCAGCTCTACAAGGACCTGTATTCTCTTAATTTTTTTTATTTTTTTGTTTTTTGTTTTTTGTTTTTTGTTTTTTGTTTTTTGTTTTTTGTTTTATTTTCTGGATTTTACATGGTAGAAAACTGTTTCATCCTATACACATGGAGGCCGCAAGTTACAATTGGACCTACTAAGGCGCTGTTTGGGAAGTTTGTTTTTTGTTTTTTATTGGTTTTTTTTCACCAAAAGACAAATTGGTTACAAAATAAAAATAAAAAAACAAATCCAAACAAAATATCACATCGAACCCCATAATTATTTCACTTTTTCTCTCACAAATATCACATTCAACCACAAAAAAACCCAACTATCTTCCCAAACACCAAAAAAAAAATTCTCCAATAATATTCTACAACTAAAAAAACTTACAAAAAAAACCCACTTCCCAAACACCCACATAATAAGGAGCACTTTTGGGACATTTTTCTTTCATTGAAATATATATTGCTTTTGAATTTTTTAAGATTTGATAGACAAAAATAAAGAAGTTAGACATTCTTACATCAATCAATTTCCCTTATTTAACTATTATTATTATTATTATTGTGTGCTCATTTTTAGGACAATGAAGGACAAAGCCCATTGCATTATGCTGCTGTTTGTGAGAGAGAAGCAATCGCGGAGTTCCTTGTGAAGCAAAATGCTGAGATAAATCTAAAAGACAATGACGGTAACGCCCCTTTTGATCTCTGTGACATGAAGTGGCCTTTGTTGCAACATCCAGTAGCCTGACTGACTGACTTGTGATTGATTCTGTTTTTCAATTCCCAAACTATGGATTAGTTTGTTGTTTCTGTACATCCTATATACATTACCTCTCTAGCCTTTTCCATCATCTTTCATGATAACATTGGCATGGGGCTATTATGTTCTTTTCAGCCTCTTTCTATTTTCTCATGCTTTCTTATGTTTGTTATTTGTTAGAGGTGCTGGATGAATTCAGAATGTGAAATTGATATGTTTAAAGCCTTGATATGCTTCAATTGTTTTTTCTATTTAAGATCTTTTATTAAGGTGGCGATTTCTAATGTTTGTCTTTTTTCTATTTTTTGTGTAAATAGAAAATAATAAACATTTTTGTTTTGTTTCTTTTTGAGCAAAAATATAGACAAATCTTGTTTGGTGTTTACAAATGTTTCGAAAAGGGCATGGCTTTCCTCCAGTCTGATCACGGACTGGAAGGTGTGGGTCCTATTTTGATGATCTGAATTATTCAATATGTAGAATTCGTCGAGTATTATATGTTTGTAAAAAATTACATTAATCGGATATCGATAGTTATGTGATCAAATCAGATTTTTATAAGTCGTTTATTTTTCACTGTCCATTTTTTTCATACAAAACTGATTTGATCACACAGCTATCGATATCCAATCAACGTGATTTTTTATAAACATATAATATTCGACGAGTTTTACACATTCAACGGTTCAGATTATCGAAACGGGACCTGTAGTGAGCCTTCACGGTCCCAAGAGTACCTTTTAGTCCGTGATTGGACTGGAGTATCTGAAAACAAAAGGCAAGAAAACATGTTTGCTGAGTTATCGGAGGTGGTGATTAGTAGTGGATGTGACTGGAAATGATATGGCAAGAGGATTGTTGAAGTGTGGTTGGAGGATTGCCCTTGGTTGTGGCCGAAGGTGGTGGGTGTAAAATGAAGAAATTAAAAGTTGTTTTGATTTTGACAAAAAAAAAAAAAAAAAACACTTTTTTATTAATTTGTATTTATTTCAGTGTGTACTCGCTATCCACTTCAATTTCAGTTATTTTAACCTATCTAAAAGGAATACAAATTTGTGGAGTTTATTGTATTTTTCATAAATGGCAGGAGAAGTTAGTGTAATTTACTAGTTAAAAAATGTACAGTATTTAATGTATTTGGTATGGGGTCTAAATTTAAATTTACACTACATATTTTGAATTTTAAATATTTTTTCAAAATAGATAATATTTAGTTAAATAATTTAAAGAGTATTAGTGTAATTCACTATTTTTGTTTTTTTTCAAATTTGTCACATAACTTTCAAATAATCAATTTTTTTTGTATTGTTTAAGTTATTTTTGCCTGATAAATAAGTAGAAGTTACCTCTAACATTTAGGCATATAAGAGTGTTAATTGGTAGGCATAAGAGTGTTCATGGGTCGATTTGCTTCGTTTGACATTAAATTTAAAATCAACTCAATTATGATCGGTTTTCAATTTTTGGATTCAAAATGCACTAGAACCAATCCAAATGAATGTAGCTGGAGTTGGAACTACAATTCCACTATATTTCCAATTCTACTATATTAAAAATAAGTGAAATTTAAATGTAACACAAACAAACAAAATGCAAAATATTATGGAAGAATTTTTAAAAAGTGGAGTGGAAAAAAAATTCCAACTAATGAAGGTACAAGATTTATTTGTATAATTGAATGCATAAATTACTTGTATTTTCATTATTTTGTAATTATTTTCTCACTCTCTATTTTTCTGATGTTCTCCCAAATATTAAATAAATTATTTTAAATCCTACAACCAATACAAATTAAATAAACTATGAAATAATTCGAGTTTCTAATACTTTTTTAGTTGACCTAATCATTTATGTATGTGAGAAATTATTAAATGCAATTAACTCCATTGTAATAGATCAATTAGGTGAAAACATGTCAACATAAATAAAATTTTAATACATATATAGGCTTAGTTCTAGGGTTGGATCGGTTAAACCAAGAACCAATTCAAAATTATCAGTTTAATGATTTGAATATCTAGAACCAAACTAATATATTCAGTATGTTTGTTTGAACGGACTGGATAAGGAGAGATTGTACTCCATCAAACTGTTAGTCCTGGGATACATTATCCCCGGACTATTTGGTTAGACTGGATTTGTATTCTATGTTTGTTTAGTTATGGGATTAGATATCTGGATTAGATTATTTTTAGTAAATCTGATATTTGGTTGAATGGACTGGATAAGCATAAATGTTCAAAAGACTATTTTACCCTTGTAATTTATAATCTTTATTTAATATATAATTTTAAATTTGTAATCTATAATTTATAATTTAACAACACTAAAAAATTTTAATTTATAAGGCCATAATTTTTAATTTATTATTTTCAATTAAATTAAATTTATATTATATATTTTTTAAATATATAATTTTAATTTAACAACACTAAAAAAATAATTTTATTTAATATATAAATTTAATTTTTAACATTAGTGATTTGTATTGATATCTAAGGTTTGATGTGTGTATTGATATCTATCTTAGTCATTTCGTTTAGTGATAAAATTGTAAAAAAAAATTAATTTAATTTATAATTTATAATTTATATTTTTTATTTAATATATAATTTTAAATTAACAACACTAAAAAAATAATTTATAAATGTTCAAAAGACCATTTTACCATTTTCCAATTGTTTATTAAGTAATAGCATGAGGGTTAAAATAGACATTCAACACATTAGTCCCATGGGATTACCAATCCCATGGAAATAATCTCACCCCTTCGATACAATAATCACTCATATAAGGGACTAATAGTTCGAACGGACTATTAGTTCGAAGCAAAAAAATTGAACCAAACAACAGACTATTAGTCCGAAGGGACTAATAGTCCAATCCCATGGCCCAATCCTTCAAAACAAACACCACCAAAAATTAACCTAACCCAACCGAAGAGGTTAATTTGGTTCGATTATTCAATTCACTGGGTAATTTAAACACTCTTAATTTAACATAGACTCTCCGATTAAAATGAATTATAATTACCTCTTTTAGCTTGTAACAAACAATGTAGACTAAAAAAACATCACCCTATTGATTTACATGCATAGTCATTGACGATGAATAAGTTTGGGTTTGTACTATTAGGTTATGTTTGATTCACAAGACTAATAGTGAAAGTATTAATAATCCCATCAAATTAGTGTGATATTCACTATCCAATTCAACGACGCACCTAGGGCTAGGCATAGGTGACTGCAACCCAACCCAAAATTTAAAAAATCTGTAGAAATTTTTTTTCCCAGCCCAATCTAACCTCTCAACCTCTCCCAACCCAGTCCCAAATAAGGGCCAATAGTTTTTTTGTTTGTTTTTTAGATAAACAGCCTAATAGCAGCCCAATACTTACCCAAAAAAATAGATAGACAGCCCAATAGGTTTGTATTTATTTAAAAAACAAATCTTTCAAAACAATCCTCATAGCTTCCAATAGATAGGCATTGGCCCTCTCTTTGTCGTCTCCAACAACTCCACTTTCCTAACATTTTTTGGAAGTGTAATTAACCAATTATTTTATTTTGTTGGTTAAGAATGGATTTGATTAACAATAGTTTTGAAATTTTGTCTTTATGCATCAAATATTATATTGCTCTAAATTTTTGAACTTTTAATGAGTTTTTTTTGACATATATAAAAATAAATGAAAGCCTAAATAAAAATTATTGAGGATATATATAAAAACTCTAATATTTAAAATTATTGCGAATATATCCTGGTTTAATATTAAATAGGGCTAATTTTTTTTAAAAAAAAATTTAGGTTATAAATAATGGAACCTCCACCACTCAAAAAAGACAAAACCCTTTTCTCATTCTATCAATTAAAACAAAAGTCTAGTAGTACAGCATCCAACATTTTCTGATGTGCAACCGCCTTCCATGCCTCAAGCAAATCAATCAAGCGAATTTGATTCAACTGTTATTGAACGGGATATTGGTTTACACTTGCAAATTTGTGAATATCTAGTTAATTAATGGGATGAGATTAGACAAGCTTATGTGAACTATCAACCTAAACTTGATTATCCTAGGTCTTCATTTGGAAAGCAGAATCGCCGATTCCAACATATTTGGTTTAAATAATTTTCTTAGCTAGAGTATTCTCCTTCAAATGATAAAGCATATTGTTTTTCATGCTTTTTGTTTGATCAGCCAAATATGTCGATCAATCATTATGTGCTTGCTGATAAGGGGTTTAACAATTGGAAGAGAGTAAATAATCGATCCAAATGTGTTTTTTTGCTTCATGTTGGACTTGCATCTTCATCGCATAGTCATTGTGTTATTAGTCATGATAATTTAAATAAATCTTCCCAACACATTGAAAAAGTGTTGAATGCACAATCAAAAGAAGAGATTTTAAAGAATCGAATGCGGGTGAAGGCAACAATTGAAACCATTCAAGTATTTGCTCTTCAAGGACTTGGTTTTAGAGGTTATGATGAAACTTGACTTCATTGAATCAATGTAATCTAATTGAACTATTAAAGTTCAAGGCGAGAGCGAATGACACACTTGAGAGCATTTTATTAAAGAATGCTCTACAAAATGCCAAATACACTTCTCCGAAGATCCAAAAGGAGATTTTGCATATACTTGCTAACAGAGTTAGGAATATGATTTTTGATGAAGTTATAGAAGGTTATTTTTGTATTCTTGTTGAAGAATCCTAAGACAAGTCTAAAAAAGAACAAATGGCCCTTATTTTCAAGAATGATGGTTTGCTAGGAGAACGGTTCTTTGATATCGTGGGTGTCGAAAATACATCTGCATTGACTCTTAAAAAAAAGATATCAAATATCCTTTCTCGATTTAAGCTCCCTATTCAAAGCATGCATGGTCAAGGGTACGATAGTGTTAGCAATATGCATGGCGAATGGAATAGACTTCAAGCTTTATTTCTTAAAGATTGCCCATATGCATGTTATGTACATTGCTTTGCACATCATCTACAATTGGCCTCAATTGTGGCAGCAAAAGATGAGCCTAATGTTTGGCAATTTTTTTCTCATTTGAGTTGTATTGTCAATCTTGTTGCTTCTTCTCCAAAGTACCTTGGTGAGTTAAAATCTTTTCATATGAGTGAGGTTCAAAATATGTTGGCTAGTGGTGAGCGTCAATCTGGTAAAGAGGCCAATCAAATTGGTACATTTCATCAAGCTAGAGCTACTCGTTGGAGCTCGCATTATGACTTTGTTAGAAACTTGATTGATATGTATAAG